TCTCTCTCTCTCTCTCTCTCTCTCTCTCTCGTTTTACGCTTTGGTCCTCATTGGCTGTGTGTCATGCCACTGAGCGTCAGTGGAGGTGCAACTCATGTCCCCTCCAACATCATCGCCCACCTCTCTCCCCACCCTGGCCTTGTTCCATCCCCAACCCCCCTCGTTCCACTTCCGGACCCCTTCTTCTCCTTTTCACGGCCTTGCGCACAAACTTTCTTCGTCTCTCTCTTTGCCCGCACATTTGTCCACAGTGTGCGCAATGAACTCAAGGTCAAAATCATTATCTATTATTGTCATGTTATTGGCATTTCCTCTCTGCACAGCAGGCAACCCAGCTCTGTACAATGCGACGGCCTTGTCTGCAACAGAAACAACATGGTCGAACTTGAAGATAGAAAAGCTTAAGGCCGTGTCTCGGGAGCGGACCGATATCTCTCTCTCTGTCTTTCTTGATAGCTGCAAGTTTCTGTATTTGGTCCGCTGCTTTACTGGTCTTTGTCGTCTGCTCGACTTCACTTTTCAGTACCAGCTCCGCAAATGCAAGTTGCTGCAACGTTACGCTGAGGTTGATTGCATCTCTTCTCATTTGAAAAACTTTTGTCAGTGCTGTCTTGAAAGGAGGAGCGCCCCACGGATCATTGCCGCTCCTTCTCCATGTTGTGTCCCCCTTCATCTCTGCCCGCATCCTGTTGCGAGTCGGAAGCTGGTGATCCGTTTGAGCTGACCGGACCAGCGSCAGAYCTTTTTCRGCCCAAAACCAATGCTTCAATTGYCATKATATMTCCCCTCGGACCGTTGTCATAATCCGATTGCATTCCCCGATCACAGCTCGGATTCCGTTCGCTGCCACGTGCAACCTTAGTCCTTCCTCGGCATGTTCTCCTATCAATTTCGCAGTTGTTTGCAGTGATGTGAAAAAATTGTCCTCCGATGGGGTTAGCGTCGCATCCTTTGCTGCTGAAAAAGCAAAGGCCTTCGTCACTGAACGAAACAGTCTGTCTTTCATTTTATTTGTAAAACCCCCGGTTTGTTGCTCTGTTCGTTCGCCAGCATTACTTCCACCTGTGCTGCTTCGCGTTTGGAAATTACTGCAATCTGGGGAAAAAACAAAAAACAGACCAACAGATTAATGGTTTAGTGATAAGAAGACCCTCTGCGATATGTGTTTTATGTATTGCAATCAGAAACTGACATAAGACCGCCCCTCCCCCTCCCCGATCCACCCCCGAACACACTTCGGAACCCCGCCCCCCCCCTCCCCCTCAGTGAACCTTGTCGTTTCTGCAACACCGAAAACGACCGTGTTGTGCATACATAGTGGTGTCTTTATAAGGCGCCCTTCCTCTTACTCTGTAGCGGTACATTCTCCCTCTGCACAATTTGTTTGTCGTTCGATGAAGTCCCTACTGCGCCTGCCTTTTTTTCATCACTTCCGCATTTCGCACAGTTCTCAGCAGATGTAATCTCTCTTTCTTCGTCTTCACTGTTGCCTTCCTCTTCCTCTTCGCCCTCCTCTGATCTGTCCGTGTTGTCACCGGTGCTGTCTCCCTCTTCCTTGCTCTCCTCTGCATCACTTTCGTCACCTTCTTCTCCTTGCATTCTCTCATGTTCTACTTCTTTTGACATTTCTTCGCCGGTGTTTTCTTCTTCGCCTTCCTCCTGAGTGGCGGTTCGTAAATCGTGTGACCCTCTGAGGTCGATTGCTTCAAGAGTCCTGTCTTTTCTATAAATTATTCTCTTCTTTGTCCTCTGTTGTTGCAGTTGTGCTTTTTCATGTCGTATTTTCTTCTCTGGCACTCTTGGGGGCTGCCTCTCACTGTCGCCGTGTCTCTTCCACCGCAGGGGACTCGCGACAGGTGTTTTGTTGTGTTCGATCAGTTTCCTCGTCTGCTTTTTCCGCGGCGGGACAGAGAGCACCGCTTGTGTCCCGCGGACTGTGTTCGTCTCCTGTCTCTTCAATTGGGGAATATCCCTTATGCTATGTTTTTGCTTTACTGCCTTCTTGTCTTCATTTGCAACCCTCTCCCCCTTCTCTCTCCTCCCCGTGGACTTCAAGGATCTGCACAGATCCTCGTACCTTGGCTTCGGAGCCATTCTCTTCAGCCTCATGAAAAGATTCTGACATGCACGAATTCACAAACACTCACGTTAGATATGGAATGATTGTGGCACATAGAACGACCATTTGTCATCCGATGCCAACATACGCGACATTTTCACACGCAGGGAGAGAGAGAGAGAGAGAGAGAGAGAGAGAGAGAGAGAGAGAGAGAGAGAGAGAGAGAGAGAGAGAGAGAGAGAGAGAGAGAGANGAGAGAGAGAGAGAGAGAGAGAGAGAGAGAGAGAGAGAGAGAGAGAGAGAGAGAGAGAGAGAGAGAGACGAACGTTTTTTGTCGTTGTGACATGAAAGACGACATTTTTTTTCTATGATACATCACGCTTTCATCCATCAAGTAGCATGCAGAAGTTGGCTACCGCGTGCCTATTGGTTTCTCTATGACATGTGAGTTTTGTATAATTGCACGCGGTTGTCAACTTTGTGTTTCAATATCGGGTTTCTATCGTGCCCTTGTAATTACGAACTTCCACTCCGTGTTCCGTCGATGAGATCTCTGAAGACATTTTCTATGTCACACGCTGCTCCGGTGTTATATCCTATTGTCATTGCAGCGCACTGCGCAAAGCGATGTACCATCGAGTGACGAAATCTCTCGACCGTTCGTTCCTTGACCTCCATCGCGCTAACAACTTCTGTTATATATTTTGCGGTTATGTTCGTTCCGTTGGCCACGTTTGCTAGCTTTCGCATCAATTGTGCTGCCAAGCAACAAACGTAAACACCACAGTCTGACGTATTGGTCTGTTGCGAACATTCCGCATATACTATGTTAGATCCAAGTAGATCTTTGCATGTCACCCACGACGTGTTCATGGTCTCGGTAGTCAACACCCCTGCTTTGTCTGCCTCGTTGAGGTATTCATACCACAAAAACGTGCGCAACGCCTTCCATTCCTGTCGGCCGCTCTGTTGAAAGGAATCCATGACGATTGCAACAGGTCGTTTCTGGCCATCATTGTCCTCCGTGACTGCCAAAAACCGACCGACATTGAGTAGCAAGAGCAATTTCCAATGGTTTTTGTGATTCACAAGGATGAGAACAACAACTGTCGTTCGCAGTTCATTGCTTAATCGATGCAGCTTTGCAGGTCTACTTTTTATCCGCTCCTGCCATCTTGCTTTCGAAACATAAACCTTCTGATTGGCGATGACTGCGGGATGCCAGAAAGTTGTGCAAACATGAAGTGTCGCGTTGGCCTGTGCAGGGAAATGTTCTTCATAGACGGACTGTAAGTACATATCGATCACGTCGTCGTTCAGCCACTGCTTTGCACCCAATCGCAATACGTCCCGTTTCGTTATCGCTATGGCGTGTCTTCTTGATGTCCACGTGAACGGGAACAAGTGTTCCTCGTCCACCCTCTCGGCGCTCTTTCCAGCCTCTACAACCATACCTCTTGACCGATTGCCCCCTGCAATACTGAACAAAGGTTCATGCGCCATCTGAGGATATTGGACGTCATCTGTGGTCATCATCTGGTACATTTCCGCATACCACGTGTCTCCTCTAGTATCCTCTTCCATCGCTTCACTGATCTCTCACTGCTCAACGGGAGCAACGGCTCGTTGACACTTGGTCCACATGACTGTTCGTCATTCCTTGCTGTTTCTGAACTCTCCGTCACTTTTGAGCCCATGATACAACCTTTGCCATCTACCCCTTCATTCATTTTGTAAGATTCGCTCATCTGAACACCCCTCATTCTCCGTCATACAACAGATGGCACGGTTGATAGACTAAGGTTGAAGTGTCAGTCTAAATCGGCTTCTCCACAATTCCTGAAAACGCTTATTTTTTTCGCTTGCTGTCTTGGCACTTCTTCCAGTGTATAGTGTCGTTCTGGCGTTACCTCGATCTCAACATTTCCTGTCCACATGGCAGTCACATGGCCATGAACCACATCTTATCAATTACACAGCAGGTTGGTTAATATTTCGACAATATGTGTGTGTGTGTGTGTGTGTGTGTGTGTGTGTGTGTGTGTGTGTGTGTGTG